CTAAAACCCATCACTAGCTCCCCGAGCTACCAATATCAATACATATATCACTTAGTTCCAACTGAACTCTAGAAGCCAAACTAAGTCAACTCTGGTCAAAGTCAATCTTTCTGGATGACTCTACTCGCCGAGTCAGTCCTTTGACACGTCGAGTACATATACTCAGACTCTCATAATGCAACTCAACTCGCCGAGTCACCCCAAGACTCGTTGAGTTCAACGATCTCTGAGTCCCATCCATTCCAACTCACTGGGTCACCATTCAACTCACTGATCCGAGCCTTAACCAGAAGGGTTAGTGTTTCACGACCTGACTCGCCGAGTTTTTCTTCTAACTCGTCGAGTCCATGCCCATCTTCATCCAACTCGCCGAGTCCACCCATGGAACTCGTCGAGTCGCTTCAATTCTTAATCCATACAGTGGCTTTTCGAGCCATGCAGGGGCTCCAACTCATAGATCCACTCTTCCCAAGTCTATTCCTCACGTAAAGTTGCAAACTTTACGTGAAACCAAATAGATATGGGCTTAAAACACTCTAGGGCTAGGGTTTATGACCAAGGGGCTTCACCAACAACTTATTGGCATAAACTTTATGGCTTTCTGGATCCTTAATAGCCTAGATCTGAGGTAGCAACCTCAAATCTACTACAAACTCGAAATAGACCTCCTCCATACTCAAAATGGCCAAATCTCAACCATAATATAGATCTAAATGCAATAAGGTCAGCTTATTACCTCAAAGGATCTGAAAAGTCACACCAACTCTGTATCCAAGGCTTCCTCTTGCACCACTATGAACCTCCTTCTCTTCAAAGCTTCAAATCACTTCACCAAGGCTAGATCTTGCTCAAAATGGATATGGTGGCTAGGGTTCGGTATTCTGGGTGAGAGAGACTGTATATGAACCCTAGGGAAGAGAATGAGACGTTTAAATAGGACACCAAGTCCCGAACTTAGGGTTTCCCAATCCAGACCAGACTCGTCGAGTCCACTTTCCGACTCGTCGAGTTGGTCACTTACTCTTCGACCCGGATCCCGCTCGGACTCATCGAGTTCCACCTTGGACTCAACGAGTTGACCCCTTTGACTTAGGGTTTTCCTTTCCTTTCTTGGTCTTTCTGATTATGGGTGTTACAACTCGCTTGTGAATCATCTTCCTTCTTCCAACTTAGGGTATTTTCCCGTATCTTCCCAACTTCTCTAAGGTCTTTGTTAAACTTCATTGATGATAGAGTTCGAGACCTTGTTCTACTCCTTTCTATTGGTACGATGTGAATGATTTTACCTTTAGTAATATGCATCGTGTTATCACTTTCAAATGACCATGGACGCACTCCGTCTAGGAATTCCATTCCTAATACCATGTTATAGTCTTCCATCGGTACGACTACTAGGTCAATGTTCCCTTCCCATTCTGCAATTTTCATGGGTACTCCTCGTGAAACTCCCAAGATAGGATTGGAGGGAGAATTGACAACCTTCAACTGGCCTTCTTCTTTCAGATAATGGATTTCCAATCTCTTTGCTTCATTTTTAGAATGGAAGTTGTGAGTCGCACCTGAATCTATTAGCACTTTGGTATTTCCTCCATTCAACTTGGCTTCGACTAACAGGAGACTTCCTACCTTAGAACCACTCCCTTTCGATTCCATTGTCTCATCTCTTTTCATACAGTTTAGAAGTTGCATGGAACTCATGTGAGCTTGTTTTTCTTCCTATTCTTCTTGCAATACCATCGCATAAAATGTCTTTTTCTTCAGACGGTCTTGGATCAAGTGAGGACCATCGCACAATTGATCTCCTTCCGTTCTTCTCTTCGGTTTCTTCCTTCGATTGCTTTTCCTTTTGTATTCAAAGTTTGGGGTGTGTTTTGTTTTGGTTCTGATTCTGATATAGTTTGTTCTCCCCCACTATTCTTCTTAATTGTGCTTTCTTTTCGAAATTCCATTAGATCTTCTGCCACGACAATAGCTTTGTCAATGTCTTTGACATTTCTCCTCTTGAGCTCATTGTAGGCCCAAGATTGTAGTACATCCATGAAATAGAAAAGTTTGTCCTTCTCCTACATGTTGAGCAACTCTAGCATCAAGCTCGTGAACTTGACTATATAGTCTCGGATGGATGCGATATGCTTTAGCCCACGAAGTTTCTTCATCGCTATGTCTTCAACATTATGTGGGCATAATTGTCTCTTAAGTTGCCTCTTGAATGCTTCCCATGTGTCTATGGTATATAATCCTTTTTCAATATCACCGTGCTTCCTTCGCCACCATAGAGCTGCACTCTTACATAGATAAAGTACGATTGTATCTACCTTCGTCTTGCCATCCTTCATTTGACTAGCATTGAAGTAGCATTCCATCGACCAAAAGAATTCGTCAAGTTCTTTGGGGTCACGTTTACCTCTATACTTCAATGGTTTGGGTGCTTCTGTGTGCGGAAACGTTCTTGCAATGGTCCCTCTAGCGATTGTTGCCTTGCATAGGTTTACTTCGGCTTGTAGCGCATCTACCTTCTCATGAAACTCATTTCACAAGGTGTTGATAAGTCCAAGGACTTCTTCCTTGATGACACCGATGGTCTCCTTCAATCCATCACTCGTGTCACTTATCTAAGCAACGAATTGATCGATGGTACCCTTCCATTCAAGGATCTCACCGAAGTTAATCTATTTCCTTGTAAGCTTGTTTTCTAAGCTTGCCAAGGCATCTACCAATTGATCCCTCTTCTTGGACTTCCTTCCTTTCTCCTCGACGATAGGGGGAATGTTGAATACTTCACTTGCTCCTTCCATCGTAAAGGTCTCTTGCTTGCTCGAACCAGGCTTTGATACTACTTGTCACGTGATGACTCTTTAGACTAGTCAATACCGTGTGCCACTTAGTGCTTATCCAACTAAGTCAGGCTTACTTCGATGATATAGATATATTACTGAACTTAGGAAGCAAGAGTTATGACAAGGGACGCTTCAAGAAAGCTTCTATTATATAACTCAACTTCTTTACAAGGCAACTTGTCCATGGATCCTACAAATGACACATCCTTCTTATTTATAGGTACCTTATACCTCCTCAAATGGAAGCTTCTAGGTCCCGATTATTCTTGACTAATCTAGACTCTTCCTATTATATACATGGCCTTTACAAGACTCTAGAATATGGTGTACTTGTCTACGATGCTCTAGAAATCTCTAGGTTGTCCTAACATTATGCAAATCGCTCTTATATAATCTAGCGTGTTCTAGATCATTCCAAAGTCTGCAGGTCGTTCTAGCTTCGTCTAGTGCTTTCTTGATTATTCCAGATCATTCTCCTTTGTTCCACGGACATCTGTAATATTCTAGCAACTTCCAAGGTCCCGTAGAGCATTCTTGATCTCTCTGGAGACTTCTCGAGTATACTTGATCGCTCCGGAGTTTTCTAGACGATCGTGGAATTTTCCAGAAACTTAGTCTGTGACACACCGCCACCTCCGATCTCTCCTACATGGATGTATGCAGGTTTTCCACCATGAAGGAAATAAATTTTACTAATGAAACAACAATATAAAGGAGGTTTGTGTACGTTTGTCGAAGTGCGTCAACAAATATATTCAACTTTTTATGCTTTTCATATAATAAGGAGAACAATGAGAGAAAAAGAGATGGAGAATGAGGAGAAATGTTTGTGAGGAGAGGGTCAACAAAGTCATGGAAGTGGTTGGGTGGGGTGTCCATCGTATTTATTTCCTTTAAAATATAAGTAGAACATATCCGATGGTAAAATCATGTTATGATTTAAATTTATTCTAAAACATCCATCACATGAGTGATTTTAAAATACTTTATAAAATCTCACTTTTAAAGTTCATAAATGTATCATAGTTTAATATTTCAAAAAATATGTCCCAAACTCCAAATAAACATAAGTTCGTTCAAAGATGTGAGGAAAGTAACCATTCAAATTAAATGTTAAGAAAGCGTAAGTCTTCATCGTTATAATCAATTTTCACCAACCTGAGCATCCGAATTGCAACTCTGAGATGTGGCGAATATCATATCCGTAAGCAATTTAAATAGAAGGACCAATGGTGTGTTAGGCCAATATTTTGGTCCAAAATGACCCATTCAAGAAAAATTGATCACTTTCCTAGAAAAAAAAAAAACACAATTATTGATTATTCCCTTTTAAGAATAATTTCATATATGGTTATAGTTGTAAATGTCTATATGTTTATATGTAGAGTAAATTACACGAATGGTCCCTATGATTTAGGGTAATTTACGTGTTTAGTTTCTAATTTTTTTTTTTTTTTTAATTCGGAAGGTTCCTACTGTTTATTTTTGTTACGCGTTTGGTTCCTATTGTACCTAAAAATACTATTTTCCCTTGATTTTTTTAATTTATTTAAATAAACACTCTTCCAACTCCACCCCTCTAACATTACCTTGTCTACCCCACAATTTTTCTTTATTTAAATAATAGTTTTTTTAGGTAAGATAGGACCAAGAGCGTAAAAAAAATTCGTAACAAAAACAAACAATAGGGACATTCCGAATTAAAAAAAAAAACAAATTAGGGACCAAATACGTAAATTATCCCAAACCATTGAGATCATTCGTGTAATTTAATATGTATGTTTTAATAAATAATTATTGTGCTGTTGAAATTTTGATTCGAAAAAACATATTGAAATTAAAATTAAATAAGTAATCAACATCTCAAACGAACCGTTGTAACAACTTAGATCACCAAAATAATGATAATTTGGATTCTATCCAGAGTAAAAACTAGATTTGCCATGTATTATGAAACGAAAATTTTTATAGCAAATCCAAACATTCCCTTAGTAAAAACCTAGGATTTATATTTAAATCGTACAAAATGTATTTTTTTGGAAAATGCAAAACCGATTCTTAGCATAATATTATAATATTTTTTAAGGGAGCAAGGTTTTTCTATTCTTTAAGACTTTATACTTTAAAAGGATAAAAAAGCATAGCCTTTTAAGCATCCAATAATAAAGACAATCGCATTTGCACCAAAAGGAAGTCATGAAGTGGGTTCCACATGATTCACCCATCTAATCTTCTGATACGGCCACCCGCGAATATCTCCACCTCCATCAGCCGTCCGATCGAAAACGACCCTCTGACACTGCTCTAGAAACCGAGTGATATCCAGCCCCAACGAGGAAAACAAAACCCTTTCAGTTTCACACCCCATAAAATACTTTTCATCACTCTATTTTCACATTTATTACACACACTACTTTTCTGTGAAAATTTCTTCGGATTTTGGGGAGGAAGATGATGACGAACAAGAACTTGTAGAAAGTCAAATCTTTTTCTGAGATTTTCTTGGGAAAAGGAGATTTCTTTTGAGCATTGAGATTTAAGTTGGTTTTCTTTGGTTGCTGTGAGAAGCTTGTTTTTGTGCCCACCGCCCACCGACATATTTTATCTTCCTTTTGAAGAACCAGTTAAAGTCCGTGCATTTTCTTCATACCCCAGAAACTGTTCGACTAAATGTCTCAGTGAGTTTTTTTCTTGAATCAATACTCAAACTATTATTTATCTATCGAGCTGTTGTCTGTTTATGACTTTATGCTTTTTAGTTTTTTACTTGGTGGAGAAATTTTGAGTGATTGTTCCGCTCTTATGTTTCTTAATATCTCTGAAAAAAAAAATCCGACGATATTCACTGGAAATAAGGAAGAAAGTTTCTCAATTTATGATAAAAATTGGCACCCATGTTTTGGAAGTAACAAGCATTTTCAACTGAAGATCTTGATTTTCATTTGTTATTGTTATGGTCAAAGAAACATTTTTTATGCGTATTTCTTGCTTTTGAAGTTGAATCATAACTTGAATCTGGGTCAACTTTATTGTATATGTATGCTTGTTGATTCAGGGTCTACTAACTACTTTAGTGTGTGTATATGCTTGTTGATTAATTCAGAGAATAATTCTATCATGGCGTAGATATAACCAAAAAGGAAACTCATGTGCTCAATGCCCTCTTGATTTATTTTCCACTCAATTACTTTTGTGCTTTTTGTTTTTGTTTTTGTTTCTGTTTCCCCTGTCTTAATCAAAGGTTCAATATTCAAAATCTTCTTTTGAATTGTTATCCATCTTTCTTTTTCATCAACAGGGAATCTTAAGTTATGGAGGTTTTTTTTATGATACACAGAAATGTCATCATCTTATCTTCATCATCACTGATGTTAATGATTTTAGGACCACAAGATTCTTAATTTCGTTTTCTTTCTTGTCGTAATCCTTGTGTAGACTAATGAAGCCATTTTGCTTCTTCGATATTCAATTGGTACTTTAATTGTTTAATGACTTTGGGAATATTGTTGAGTTTTAACAATAGCTTCAAATTTCGTTAAATAATTGTATTTTTTATATTAGGAATAATCCCAAAAAACAACCACTTTATGATTATGATGTGATGTTTAACAAAGTCACCACCTTTTTTAAAACTTTCATTAGAAAGAAGCGAGTATTTAGTATTTTTGAAGCAATAATTTTCTGTACCTCAAATGGGGACCATAGAGGAGAATCTAAACCATTAGCTATCTTGGTATTTTCTTGATTTTAAAGAATCTTTAAAGATTTTTGGCTATTTGTAGGAAACATATCATATGTTCTGAATTATTCGCAACACATTTAGCTATTTCTTTCTTTTATTGTTTTCTTATACTATAGTTTTCTTCTATTGTTTCTCATTTGTAATCTTAATGGTTGTTTTCAGATGACATACCTCCCTCTTGTTCACGAAATCATGTGAAATTTTCTTGAAAAAACAACCGAAATACATAAAATGGGTGAGCTGGCATCTAATCGCGCTACATTCAGGTCAAAATTCGAATTAGAAAAACGTCACCATTCCCATTCCGATTTCCGTTCCAAAGTTGTAAAAAGTCAACCCAAGATGGAATCGTCAACGCCTTCAATGGAAATGGAAGAAATCATCAAACACATGAAGCATTTACCAAATTACCTTGAAAATGGAAAACACGATCGAGCTTTAAGCTTTGGAGTTATGGATTGGAATCGCTTACAAAAATGGCAAGATTTCCAAACTCATAGACACGAATTTGTTAAAACCAACAAATGTTCATCATCTAGCAGCAATTCCTCTTCATTGTTTTCAACCGATGGATTGTCTATGTCTCCTCAATCAAGTCAAAGTCAAAGTCAAACCTGGTCTCCTTCTAATCAAAAAGTCAATCGCGTAACTCTACAATCTCATTTCACATCATCTCCAAGTCAAGATTTCATTATGAACAAAACCCCAGAAACAAGAAATTCAAATTCTTTCAAGAGTCCAGATGCCAAAACAAGAAGTATATCCCCACTTCGTCGTTTTAGCTTTAGCTCAAAATCTACGGGACCCACAGAAAGACCCGATTCTCCATCTAACCGGGCCCAATCAAGCCCATTACGAAGGTTATTGGACCCGATTTTTCCATCAAAAAGCCAAGAAGATTCACGAACAAAAGCAAAACTGAAACTCGATTTCAAGGAAATTAGGGTTGACGATGTCGTATCATCATCATCATCATCATCATCATCAACAACAAGAAAGCAAGCTCTTTTTCAAACAACCATTAAAAACGATCGTCTTTTATTCACATTTGCAGTTGAAAACAACGACATTCTTGCAGCAACATTGACCAGTTTGACTTCTTCGGGAAAAAACAATAACGGGAACTCGATCTATACATTTTTCACTGTTCACGAGGTTAAGAAAAAAAACGTTAAATGGTTATCACATGGGACAAAAAGCAAAGATTACGGTTATGTCCCTAACGTAACAGCTCAAATGAAGGTTTTGAGTTCATCAAAAAGTCAGGAGTTTGTTTTATTCTCCGTGAATTCGAATGTCCAACCACAAGAAGAATTGGAAGCCATTGTTGTGAAGCTTTCAAGAAATCAAGAAAAGTTTAACACAACAGTTGTCCTACCTGGTGGGACCCATGGTGTTCCAAGTAAAGGAGCGCCTTCATCGCTGACTGACAGGTGGCGGTCTGGCGGGGTGTGTGACTGCGGTGGTTGGGATGAGGGGTGCAAATTGAAAATTCTTACTAACCATAACACTGGTGCACAGTTTGAGCTTTTTGTTCAGGTATATTGTGATTTGTGAAGGGTTATAAATGGAAGAAATACAATGTAATTTATTTTATTTTATTTTACAGGGTGAAATTGGGGAGAAGAAACCGATGCTTAGTTTGTCTCCATTGAAGGAAGGTATATTTTCGGTTGAATATAATTCATCATTGTCGGATTTACAGGTATTTTCGATATGTATATCGGTTGTGGAATGCAGAAAAATGTCACGAAATATACAACTCAGAACACATTGTCATGAGGGTGTTCCGGTAATTTACACACCGATTCCGGGTATTAAGAGAAATGTAAATGGGAAGGTCATTTCTTTGTAATTTGAAAAGGGTTTGATTTGTGTTGTTTAAAGTGTTTTGAGAAAATAAAAGCAAAAGGAGACTTTGTGCATATCTTGTTTTGTTCTGTGTAACAAACGCAACTTTACCTATTTGTTTTTTAATAATTTATTTTATGGGTTGTATTTATTATTGATGAATTTGTGTATAGAGTGTAGTGATAATTATTTATAGATATGTTTGTGTATCACGAAATCCTTTTGATTTCAAGTGAATGTCAATTAGCTCAGATGACACTAAAATTTTCAATATTTAGCAGGATTCTGTGTTTGCATATAGAAAGGTGAGATGCAAATTTGCAAGTTATAATTTCCTTAGACAAAGTCTAAATATTTTTATACAAGACTTATGTTCGCATTTTTACTATGATAGAGAAAGCATAGTAAATCAATAGACTTTATGATACAGATCTAAACCACTTTCTGTGAAATGCTCTTTACATTTATTATTATTATTATTATTATTATTATTATTATTATTATTATTATTATTATATAAAAATGGTGTAAACCGGGATTCATCAAACACAATAAATAAATTGTGTTTTTCTAACTTATTTAGATTTTTCATAATACATCTTATATCTAGTAGCTATTTATAAATTTTTATTGCAGTTTTATTGTTACAATTATCTATAAATTATGTATTAAATAAATAGAACCAAATTAGTTTTTTATATAATTTATTCAAATTAATTGATACATTATTACAACAAACATTTTATTAAATTATATATATATATATATATATATATATATATATATATATATATATATATATACACACACACTAGTTTATAACCCGGGGATCCACGATTATACAATTAATTAAACTTTTAAAATAAAAACTAAAAATTATTAATCAATTATTTTAAATAATTTATTAATTAAGAGATTTTTTTTTGCTATATAAGTTTTAATCATTGATTCAAATAAATATGTGAAATTATATTACTTTATAATTTGTATTAAGTTTATTTTAATTTTTATTCTAATGTTATTAATTTAATATAATTAGAGTGAGAAATTTGAAATGGAGAATCAATAAGTTTACAAATGTCATGTATTAATTAAGAGATAATATGATAACACATAGCAAAAGAAGAATAAAATATGTATTAATTAGGAGTCTTAATAAGATGACACATGTCAAGAGGAGAATAAAATTATTTTTTTATTAGATAGGGAGATATATAATATTTGCTTTTGATCTATTTGAGGATGATTTTATCTAGTTTTATTACTTTTAATTATTTATTGGGTGAGCTAGTTAACCATAAGAGGACACGGTATGCGTTTGTTTGTGCTCGTTATGGCCGACTTGGCGAAGCCATAACGGCGTCAAAACGAGCACCCCCCCCCCCCTTCTCGTTTCTTCTCATTATAGCGAATCTCGTGCCCGTTACCACCGATTGCAACGCAAAAAAGATAGACGTTGGTGTAATGGACTGTTTGCAACGATCAAAATCTAAATTAAAAAAAAAACATTTACCCTTTTAACTTTTATATAAACACATTTTAACCCAAGTTTTTTACACCTTTCTCTCATTCTCTCTGTATTTTATATTTTCTTCTCAATCAAAAAAATGGAGCAAAACCTAAACACCCCCCTCCATCATCAAACCCAAACACACAACCAAACACAACCTCGCCTCTCGGATTTGCGGGTTACGAAATTTATTTCAACCTTTTATAATCTCAATGATCACCACAAATCTCATACTAAGGTGCTGTTTTCAATCCCGCTCCACCACCACTGCAATTTTCCAACTCACACTAACTTCAACGAAATTTATTTGGTCAAAACTCAAATTTACAACAAAATCGTCTCCCTAGTTTTGCTTCAATGCAACAAACAACCACCCAACCACCACCTCCAACACAACCATCGGTTGAAGTGGAAGCGGGAGATAGTATGAGAGGGAAAGGGAAAGGAAAAACGAAAAGGAAATCGATAATTGTTGAAATGAAAAATGCAGACGTTCCACAATGGTGGATACCGTAGGAGGAATATGCTTTGACGACGGCATGGTGTACTTCTTTAAAAGATAAACTCCATTGAAATTGAATGAAGAAAGTTGCTTATTGGGGGGAAGTGCGCGAAATATTCAATGCTATGTTGAAGAAAAAACCACAATAATGACATGTTAAGCAGCAAATAAAGTCAAACAACTAAGCAATGCAGTATATTCAATGATATTTACAACCAGCTTGAGACGCAACAGCAAAGCGGAACCAACGACTTCGATTTCTTCAAATTTACAAAAGAAAAATATTGGGTCGAAAAGGAACATATTTTCAAGTTTGAGAAATCATGGGAGTTGTTGAAAGCGGATCCAAAGTGGAATAAAACTCCTACATCGTCGGAGGTTCAATCCAAAAGGTCTCACAATTCGAGTCCGGTCGACGTGTCGGACGCACAGACTGACATCGACCTCAACACCGACACCAATGACATCTTAGATGATATCGAAGAGATATCCCCACCACGACGACCGCCTGGGCGCGACAAAGCGAGGTGTGATGCAAGGCATACGGGGAGGTTGAGGCGAAAGCAAAAGATGTTGCGGATATGAGAGCGAAATTTGATAAGCACAATTTATTAATAAAAGAAAAAAATAACTCGTCACATGGAGTTCCTTGAAAGGCCAGCACGGGAGAAGCATGAGCAAAAAGAGAGAGAACTAATGACACATTAGTTGTCAATTCTTCGGACTAGCGAGGATGGTTTAATGCCCGAAGATCTAGCGATGCTACAAGCAATAAATGATCAAACTAGGAATAAGTATTTTGGTTAATTAAGATTAGTAGTAAAATGCTATGGTTTTAGGTTTAATTTAAATGTTATTGGGTTAATTAGGACTTGGAAAAAATAATGTCTTTTTTTATTGTAACTTTAAGTTTAGTTTTTAAATATTATCTCTTTTTTTGTTTTTTAAATATTATATTTTATAAGAAAATGTATTTCTTTTATTAATTCAAAAAAAGACAAATGAAAGAAGTATAAAAAAATACAAAAAAAAAGACATGGAAAAAGTTGGTGTTACATCTTATTTGAAAATCATTTTCCCACTGTTGTTATAAGGCTGGAGTGTGTGGCCGCCTCAATCGAACATACTGGCCCCAGACTGCGGTTTCGGCCGCACTACGGCTAGAGACTACTGCGAATCGTGATTGGTTGTTGAGGTTTTTGACCGTTGAACGGTCTTTGCAACAAATTTTTTTTTTTCCTTTTTGTTTTTTTTTTCCTATATATATAAACACTTCATTTTTTTTTCTCACACAATACAAACATTTCTCTCTCAACTTTTTTTTTTTTTTAAATACCAATTTTAGATAACAATTTTATGTAGTTTGTTTTAGTTATTTTATTTGTGTTTTTTAAAATTTTTAGGATTATTTTAATGTCATGTGTGTGTTTTTATTTATTTATTTGTGTAATGCAATGTAATGTTTTTTGAATTTTCAATGTAATGTTTTTTTTTTATTATTATTATTTTCAAGCAATGAAAAATTATATTTTTTTATTAAAAAAGAAGTTTTAATTAAAATAGCTAAAAAAACAACAAAAAAAATAATAAATAAAAGCGTGTCACCACTCCCTTGGTATAGTATGAAACCACATTTGTATGGTTAAAAATAATATGACGTTTATGTGGTGGTAGAGAAAGTGTGATTTTGGTAGCACCACTCCTAATACTATTGATATGTAAAAAAATACCAATTTAGTATTACATCTACTTGCTCAATGCTCACACCCAATGCTCTAAGTCCTCATTGCAAGTTGATTTGCAATGCCACGTTTCAATTTTCTACAAGCCACTTTAGAGTAATTTTGCTATATGTGAAAGACGCAAAGATTATATGTAATGATTACTTATTTCTTTCTATTTTAATATTATATATTTCTTTTAACGACGGATGTATTAAAAAGCAATTAGCAAAAAGCTAGCATAAATTATAAATTACAATCATGAAACGAAGAAATAAATATGTTTGAGTAGAAAACTATTTAGTTTTATCAAATTTTGAATATATATTTATATTTTATATGTTTATAATATTAAGGGTTTTTTTGCAAAATATTTGTAAACTTAAGGGTTTTTTCGCAAAAAATAATTCATAGTAACCTGGAAACCTGTTATTGCAGGTAACAAGGGCAAAACCGACAAAAAAATGATAAGTTTGCGGTATAAACGAACCAAAAATCTACCAAATGGTAAAACCGACATTTTCTGCCAAACTTAAGGTTTTTTATGACATTATCCCTTTATTTTTCATACAATTAACCGCAACCAATTGGATGTCATCTTGTATTAAGCTTATTTCATGCATTTCTAGCAAAAGAGGTGACCATGTTATGAGATTTCATTTTAGTCCTTGCACGTTAGTTATTTATTCTATAGTTTAATGTAATTCAGTTTTATAACTTAAAAAACATATTAAAAACGTAATGTATACCTTTTCACTATAAGATTTTACGAAGATAACTCCTATTGAAATGCATGAAATAAGCTTATACAAATAATTTTAAAATAAATTAGTATATTGTGTTATTTTTTGTTTATATCATAATAATACAAATATTTGTAAAAGTAACATAAAATAGTTGTTGATAGTGTGTGGTGGAGACCGCTTTTGAAAGAATATTTGTATCGCACAATGTGATTGTGTGGGTTAATAATTGCAAAGGCCATATGATAGAATTGAAAGATAAATATTGATAAGTAGTATTTAATTATTTATTGTAATGTTATGGATGATCTAGTGTTATATATGTACCTACATCACCTCTTCACCTCTTCAATGAGTAACCCGTTGTTCCTTCCAATAATGACTTTATGTCAATTGACATACTCTTTTGATAGTTTAAGGATTTAGAATACAAAAAAATAAAAAATAAAAAAAATCAAACCAAATAGTT